CCCCAGAAGCCTGAAGGTAGACAGAGGTGGAACCGGGACAACCGGGCCCCAAGAGTACCAAAGGCCCGACAAATAACCGGATTATTTGTAACCTAAAAAGTGTCATCTGTGCCTTAAAATATGCGTGACATATCCCAAAAATATGACACCGTCAGTGACAGTAACAAACTGATCAGGTCTGATTGCAGTCTGCTGTGTGGGGACTTTCACCTGCTACTGTAGGGTCTACCTTACGGTAGCAGGTGACTGTTGTTGTGATTTGGGGCTGTATAAATAAAACTGAACTGAAAACTGAACCTGACCCAAATTTCAGTGCATCATGCATAACTGTGGTCAAAAAGCACAAAGACCAACGAGTCTGACTGGATTCTTTGGTGGGGCCCTGATGACTGCTAGGAACAGGCGGAGCTGGACATAAATTTGACATATTTAAAGTCTAAGATGACCTGAAAGAGGTGCAGTTAACCATGGCTCTCCAACAGTTTGTGTGCTGCTTCACTGTGGTGATCATTTTCTTCTGCAAAGGTGAGAAAATGATTTGATTGGTTGTTCTCTTTCTATAAAGCAAAGACATGTCACTTAAAGATGAACTGGTGGGTTAATGTTTAAAGGTTTTATGTCAAAATTATCAACATCGTCAATGAAAAGTTGAAGTTTGTCTCAGCAAAGATGCAGATTTTCTTAAAAGCTGTTTTAAATATAGAAACTAGACCTAAAGATCTACAATCCCCTCCCCCTAAAAAGTGTTGTGTTTAGTGTGATCAATTCTTCAAGTTCGAAGAAAGCAGTCAGTGCTTACTTTCACAGGTTTGTCTGTGTGTTCTCATTTCCAGGTTGTCACTCACAGCAGCCCAGTAAGCATCCAAAGACATTTGAACCTTGTCTTCCTTCTGCCAGCTGTACAGTAATGAGCACATATAAATCTGTGATGTCCACATTTGAGTGTGCTGACTTTGGTTTTTCTATAAACTGTGATGTGATTTTGTTCAGTAAAATCTTCCAGTTTTCTGACACAGAGGAGGAACATTTGTGGATCACATGTAAACCACAGTCTAATGTTAAAATAACATCCACATGAATGTCACTGCTCAGGATCTCCCAGCAGAGCATTGATCAGTGTTATCTCTCTGAGTGGTTTTAATGTGTTGGCTGATCTGTTTAGCTGTGCTCTCTCTTCTCTTGTCAGCATGTGGCAGAAGTGCTGTGAACAGCAGCAGCATCACAGGAG